TGTGTCCAGTCCTGGCAAAGTGGCCCTCGAGCTGCCCGGGTCGGGATCTGGACTCGTCACAGGAAGGCAGTGGCCCGGGACGAAGGCTCCCTGCATTCCACTCGAGGTGACACGCGCTCTCAGAGAGCTGACTGCGCCTCCGGGGTGCTGCCCTCCACGTCGCGCTGTTTCTGCCACCTGTGACAGGTCCCTCCTGATCGGGCCCTCTAGTGTCCCTCACGGGCTTTGTCTCTGCAGCTCTCAGGGACTTGGGCTGGGCCGTTCTCAGGTGAGAACCCATTCGGAGAACTTCTCTACAGGCTTCAGGTGCAGAGCGGGTCACAAGAAAGACCTGTCCCTCACTTTGACATTTTGGGCAACCTGGGACAAAGGAGTTTGTTGTGCTTGCATTCTTTCTAGAAAATAAAGCCATCGTTCTGGGATACTTAGAGAGTTTTATTTATTTTTGTGTCTTGGTTTATCTTAGCATCTACACTTTCCTTTTATTTTTTAGTTTCATTTAAAATGGGGGTCGGCAGGTGGCGTGGTAGTTAAGGGCGCTGAATACCCACATGGTGGACTGTGGTTTGAATCCTGGACCCGGTGACTTGCTTTTTCATTCTTTCTCTCTTTCACTCTGCCCCTCTCTGGTCAAATTAAAATAAGTAAATAAAAATAATAAAGTTAATTAAAATAATTCTTAAAACAAAACTGTCATAAAATGCACCCACCTGAACAAGTATACATGAAGATATGCACTAACTACGATCTCTCACTTCATAGGTGTAGATTTCATGTGTAAATTGCACGAGACTGTAAGAGTAGATCACTTGCAGCTATACATCTGCCAGTTGTGAAATACCAGAATAATTTCTCCACTCGTCAGCCTGTTCTGTCCCATTGTTGTGGACTGTATGGGCCAGTGACAATAGGCAAGAAAACACATTACTATTTTGATTTTGGAATAAAGAGGACTCAAAATGATGACACTGGGCATGATGTGATTGTGGACCTTGAATGTTTGTCAGAAAAAATTCCCTACATAACCTAGAAAATGCAGTGGAACAAAATAAATGTAACTGGCATAAAATGACACGAACATGAAAAACCCATTTTAAAGATTGGCCTAAAGTTCTAGGGAGATAAAGGAAAATACATGAAATGTATTACAAGAGAAGTCTTCAAAAGTTCCTGAAAATGCAGGGGCCGGAAAGTGGTGGTGGTTACAGGTACTGCACTCCCACATGGCTGACCATGGTTCGAGTTCCAGACCTGGTACCTCACTTTCTCACTTTCCCTTTCTCTCTCTCTCTGTCTCTCTGTGGTCAAATTGAAGAATAATGATGATAAATAGAATTAAATAAATGAATAAGTAATTCTTTTTTAAAAAAAGTTTATGAAATTGCATATTATGGGACCAGCAGTTGGCATAATAGCTATATCTCTGGACTCCCAAGTAGTCAATGGCAGTTCGAGTCCTGGACCCAGTGGCTTAAACTCACGCCGGGCTTGTGTGCGTGCAGCCCAAGATCCCGAGAGGAGAATGACCCCGTTGGGGCCATTCTCCCGGGGGTGACTTCTTGCTTTCTGTCTCTCTGTCTCTGTCTTTCTGGCGAGCTCACACACCCTATAGCAAAAAACTCTCAAAAAATACATATTATGGGAACCAGCAGTTGGCGTAATGGCTATGTCGCTGGATTCCCACGTAGTCGACCACGGTTCGTGTCCCGGGCC